GAGGCTTGTTGGTTGGCCCAGTGAGCAAGTCTCAAGTCAATAAGTAATCCTGCATTTTTTAAAAAAGGAAAAAGGTAGATGGCACTTGAGGAATGACATCAGAGATTGACAGGTAGCCTCTACAAGCATGTGCACATGTATATGTGGACACACACACACACACACACACACACACACACACACACACACACATCGATGATGGCCACACAGCCTGGCCAGCCATGTATGACATGTCAGAATACCCACAAGGTATTCTGTGTGTGTGAGAAAGTCCCAGGCTCCAGTCACAGTAAAACATCAACCAAAGCAAGCTACTTAAAGAGGAGCTAACGCCTCATATTTACCTGGGAGGACTCCTTAAATGCCCTGGTTTCAGCCATGTAACACATAGATCATAAAATACCTGGAACCCCAAACTAAGGCTACACAATGATATTAACCAGGAACTGGCAAGAAATGAAGGAGGTCAGGCCAGGTGTTAAATGCAGATTGGAGATATTCTCTCTTGAACCAGCTGGGTTTTCTCTCTCAATCCACACTAATTCTTCTGAGTCAGTCTTCTCATTCTTAATACCTTTTCTCTGGATTCTCCTGCCTCATTTTTCACTGCTGTCTGTCTGGTGGTAGTATATGCTAATATGCAATGCTAATGCCACATTTTCCTCAAAAGATGTGGAAGCTGACGTCTAAGCATTATAACATATTTTCAAACTGACTTATAGGCTACTTTCTTATATAGATGCTAAGCATTTCCATTAGGAAAATATTGTGTTCTCTCATGTAGATGTCAGGATTCCTTTTGGTGTTTCTTTGTTTTGGCTTTCACATTTTCCTTTCTGATACACTCAGTTCTCAATTTGCGAATGGACCAGTGTCTGTAATTCATACTCTGAGTCTGTTGCTTAAAATTAAAATGTTCTCCCAGGGAGACAATGTTGACTGAAGTGTCTCTTTGTGACTTAATCCTTGAAATCAAGTTTTTCCAAAGAGGGTTCACAGTGAACAGTCTAATAGAATCATCCTATAAGAAGAACATCATCTGCTTTTTAATACATTTTACTTTATGTGTTTTGCATGCATGAGTGGCTGTGTACCCCATTGCAGTGCTCACAGAAGCCAGAAGAGGGCATCAGATTCCACAGAAACTGGAATTATAGATGGTTGTGAGCTGCTGTGTAGGAATTGAACTCAGGTTTTCTGAGATGAGTCTCCAGCTCTATTGTTTCCTAATTAATGGGGAATTATTCTTTTCATTTTTTTAAAAGCTAGCTTAGATCGCGCCACCATGTATGAGAGGCCTTACTTCTTCTGAATAAAGATGGAGGAGGAGTGGACGGGGGGGGGTGAGTAGAAGGGAGGTCAGGGGAGGGAATGTGAGGAGAGGAGGGAGGAGAAACTGGTTGGTATGTAAAATAACTAAATTAAAAAAAAAACAATGTGAATATCACCTGAGGTTGTTGTCTTCTGGCCTCCATATGCGCCTTTACAGGTTTTTACTAGTTACCAACTTTGTGAGAGTTTGTAACATGAATGAGTATTTAGATTTCATTAAATAACTCTCTCGTATCCATCTGGGGTATACAGTGTTTCTCATTGACTTCATTAATAAGCTGATGATAGTTGTGAATTTTTAATGTTAAATCACCTTTTTCTTACTGTAATAATCTCAAATTGGCCATGATGTATTATCTATTTTTTACATGACCAGATTTGGTTTGCCAATACTTCACTTAAGATTTTTTTATATCTTTATATCTATGTTCACAAATGAAACTGGCTTGTAATTTTCATGTCACAGAACTCTTATTTTGGGAATCATGGATAACCTGAACCTACAGAATGGGATAAAAAGTGATCTTTTTCTCATTGTTGGAAAAGTTTTTAAAATTGAAAGTATTTTTCTGAAGTGCCTGGACCCTACCCTGAGTGAAATGACAGACTCTAGATATCCCCTATGCGGAAGGAATTGGCAATAGGGTGGGAGGATGGGAGGAATGGTGGTGAGGTGCGAGAGGAGGGGAGGGAGAAGGAACTGGGATTGACATGTAAAACAAGCTATTTAAAATTAAAATAAAAAAGATTAAAAAAATGCAACTGCTAGAGATTATTTCTAACTTGCCACCTGAGGTGCTGTGTCGTTTTAGGAAGGTTTACTGTAGGGAATGGAAGACAGCTTAGTGGGCAGGCACTTGCTATATAAAGGTGGGACCTGCAACATAAATATAAATGTCAGATGGGTTTATAATCATAGAGTTTAGGAGATAGAGACAAGGGTCTTCATAGCAAGCGGGATATCTAAACTAAACACATTAGTAAGCTCTAGGTTCAAGTTAGAGACCCAGTCTCAATATTTAAGATGAAGAACAATCAGGGAAGATACTAAGTGGTAACCTCTGGCCTCTACATGCACCCGCATACACATGTTCCCAAATATATATGAGCACAAAAGTATACACACACATACATGTATCCACATACCAAACCCACCACATCCACCAACCCTCATATGACCATTTAATGGATAGAAGATAATCCAGTAATACTTCTGGTATCAGTTTTGGTAAATTATGGATTTTATGAGATTTTTTTACATCAGCTTTCAAATTTATTAAAATAATGTTGATCACATTTGGATGTCTTCTACAGTTCTGTTGTATTTAATAAATTAAAAGTTCCATGAGAGAGAGATTGGCAACTTTAATCTTTGTTGTATATGTAGAACTCAGAAAAATCATTGGCTCAAACACTTCTGGGGAATGAAGTAATGAAACTGAACTCATGCTGGTTATTCACTACCTGGTGAGTTCTCTTCTCTTTGTCTGACAAGCACTGTCATACTGTTGTTGATTTTATTGGCCATTCCAAACAAGGACCTTTTGACTTTATCAAACAATTCACTAATCACTTTCTGCTCTTATATTCTTTATGTCCTGCTTTTTACTTCCTTGTAATTTATCCTTATGCTCACTGTTTATCATCCCAGGTTGAAATCTTGGTATACTAAATTTGTAGCCTTTCTTGGTCCTCCCATATGCTTTTGGACATGAATTGTTTTCAACTTTATTTAGTCCCTAAGTAGTTCTCAGATTCAATTATGATTACCATTTAGAACCATCAGAAATGAGAGGGCTCTCTATTTGAATCAATTAGATGCCTTTCATCTTGTTTTTAAAGGCTTCTAATTGAAGTTACTTTGTTACATTATGGCAAAATATCATTTTCTTAAAATGTACTGAGAGTTATTTTATGGTCAGTACATGGTTATGGTTTGATAAGTGTTGGGTGTGAAACTGATAAGGATGTGTATTCTAACTGTCCACACAAGCCTCTTTATTTATCCAGCAATTCAAGTACATTAAATGTCATTCAAATCTTCCATATTTTTATTATTTTTAACTCATCTGTTCATGCTTGAAAGATGGGACATTAAAATATTCCACTATGATAGTAGGCTTGTTCTTTTATTTCTCTAAAGGTCTAATTAGTTTGGTGGTATGCACAGATATAAATAAAAATTAAAATATATATAATTGTAAATAGACTCTTCACACTGATACATTTAGAAACATATATGTCACTGCACAAGATATATGCAGATTTGGGATGTTTGTACCTTCCTGGTAAGTTATATTTTCAGTTGGGCCTCTCTTCCTTTAATGTTTGATCTAATACCAGTATAGTTATTATAGCTTCCTTTGGGTAATTTTTTTATAATGTTTTTGGTTAACGTTATTATAAACCTTTTAGGTTTCATCAGTTATGTTTATCTCTTCTAAACAGCAGATGCCATATATAGTTTTCTCTTGAATCTAGCAAACTATTTCATTACCAATTCTTCATTGAGATTTAACATTACAGGCAAATATTGAACCTTAATGAATTCAAATCACTTGTGTGTGTGTGTGTGTGTGTGTGTGTCCATATATTTATGAGATGTGCCTTTATTACCAATACTGGGAGGTGGAGACAGGAAGATTCCTGAGAATTCATTAGCCAGCTATTTAGCCAATTAGTGAGTTACAGGTTCAGTGTGTGTCCTACCTCAAAAAATAACACAGAAAATGATGGAGGAAAGCAAGATTTAAGATGATTTTTCTTCTGGCTATGTTGAGCAGTGAGTCATTAGCAACAAGTCAGGGTTTCCCTCTGTACACCAGGGCTTCCCTTTCCACCTCTGCCTTGCTCTGAGAACATATGACATCATAAAAGAGACCCTGGAGAACATCTAGATATCCTAGACATCATTCTTCTGAACTGATGCCAATCACAGTACTTGGTTAAGTCAGGGAAAATGAGTGAAACCCCATCCAATGTATGGACTCATAGGCTAAACACATAGTTGCTAGGCACAGCCACAATTAGAATAGTTTGTTTTGTGATATTATGAACAGCACTGGCTAATATTCCCTACCCTGTTGCCTTCTTAATGTGAGGCATTCTTTAGTAGCTGGCAGTGAGAAAGTCACAGTTAACGCTTTTCTGCCCCCGTCCTATCTACCGAGAGAAAATGAGACATTTGTACTTGCTTTCGTCACCCTGACCATTCTACAGATGTCATGGCTCCTGCAGTATTTATTTAGACCTGTTTCCTTCCACATTAATCTGCATATCTAACGTGATCTGGAAGCACAAAGTGATTCCCAGCCCATCTGTAGCACCTGGCACATAGTGGGCCTCTCTGCAAATGTTTTCATTTGAATTAAATCAATGAATTTGGGGATCTGGAATGAACCAAAACACCTGGCAGCAGATGAAAGAAGAAAAACTACACAAGCTGTTTGTTCCCTCAGGGGGCTTTATGCTTTCTGGGAATATCAAATAAGAGTGTGCAAGAAAAGAGGCAACACAGGAAAATCTTTCTGTTCTCCCGGGACCGTTTACATGCCTATATGCTCAGAAAAAACTGTTGTCTGCCAATCCCTGCACCCAGATTCCCTATGCTTAGCGCAGGAGTACAATAAGGTATGACCCATACCCCACCATGGTACCTCTTGACCCACCTTTAAATCAGACACATCTCTGTAGCACTGCTCAGAGCGAGTGTGGTCTGACAGCTGCACGTTCCAGAAACAGGGGAGCTGATACACCAGGAAGGGGTTTTGTTTGATGACAGCATTGAAAATATCCTGTGGAATGAAAACCAAAGGCATGGTCATGCAAGTGGGCAGGTTCAGCTCACAGGAGGACATCTCTCAAACACCATGCTCTGGGCATACAATTGCTCCCACTGTGGACAGTTTTCTTGACTGCTTTATACAGAAACCAAGGAGTAAATGTCCGGGCAGGCACAGGGGACAACCTTACTGACTCTATGCTTACGAGTCCAGTTGGTCATCATCCAGCGAGGTCACACAGGGCATATAGGGAATGTCTTCCCCATGCTGGCTACCATAAAATAAATCAATCCTCCGTTCCTCACCTTGCCCCACCCTCGGTTGCAGCCCTGTGCTATCCTGAGCCTTCTGGAGAGGAAACAGTATGATGAAATGTGGCTCAACTCACCCAGAGGGGTAAGACAAATTACACATCTTCATTTCCAATAGCTCTTTTGGGGGGCTTTTGTTTGGCCTGGTGATGGATGCTCCTTGAATTTCTCTGCAGGCCACAGCATCCAGAGTGCAACTGCTTATTTCAAACTCCTCTTCCAACTTGTCTAGGACAGATGTTTTACCCTTGTTTGTGCTCCCTCCAAACCTAATATGTATCCCCACTTAGTAGCCAGCCACTTGACAGGTGGTACTGGGAGATGAATTATGGACTTTCATGGCACAAGATGTCTGAACAAACCATCTTCACTCAACATGGATACACAACTGCTAGCTTTGGGAGAATACACTCAGATCACTGTTACCTGACTTGAAATATGAGGACAGTAGACAACTTCCTCTCAGGCCTAGACAGCACCTGAGTTATTTTACTTTATTTTTCACTCACTCATTATGTTGTATCTCATTGCTTAGGAAGAGAGATCAGTTTGTGGCTCCTTGGGAAATACTGAATAATAATGCTTAAAAAGAAAGAAAAACAATTATATAACCTTGCAGACTTCCTTGTTTCCTCTGAATTTGAAAACTTTGTGGGCAATCTGGCAAAGGAATCGTGAGGCATGAACTCAGGATGGAAAGGAAAGGGACAAATGAAGAAAATTAGGAGAGAGACTCTTCACACCCAAGACGCTCAGCTACATCACAAGAAGTGAGGTCTACGTGAGTGGTCCTGAGTCCTGAGGGCAAACAGGCCCAGGACTTTTCTAAACAAGGTCAGACACGTGTTTTAATGAATATTATTTAATAGTTTGTTGGAGTTGGAGGGCCTTCTAAGACTTAACGTTTGTTTTTCCTGCTTAAATGCAATTCCCTTGAGTTCAGGGCTACCAGGGTTATGATCATGGTAATGGTTTTAGCTTATATATTACACATACCACTAGAGACATGGCTCAGTAGTTAATAGCACTGACTGTTCTCCCACAGGAGCCAGGTTTAGGTCCCAGCACCCATATGAAGGTTTACAAGCATATGTAAACTTTAGTTCTAAAGGATCTGACACGCTCTCTTTGGCCTCCATGGGCATAGGCACATATGAAGTTCAGAGACATGTATGTAGGCAAAATATCATTACACATAAAGTATATAAAGAAAATAATCATGCTCTTTACTTACCTGTCACCCTCCTACATGCCTTACTGTTCAGTGAATGTCTTTTGACTGAGTGTATGAATAAGTCAAAAAATTGAGACCCATCCAATTATTAACATGAATCTTTAAGAAACAGACCAGGTCCGCTGTAGTCTGAGTTCTGGAATATTCTCCCAAAGGTTCATGTGCTAAACTATTGGTGCTGGATTCCCACAGGAGGTATTTAAGACTTTGATAGGTAAGATTCAGTGTAAAGTTTTAAGGTTATTGGGAGAGCACATGTGAGGGGAATGTGGGATCCCAGTATCTTCTTTGATGTCCTTACTGTGAGGTGAGCTAATATGTTCCTCCATGTTCTCAATAGGCTATGGTTTTGGACCAAGAGCTATATGGTCAAGCAACTATGGGATAAAGCTTACTACATTATGATCTGAAATGAAGCGCATAACCCAGGCATGGTGACCCATGCAGGTAACCCAGACCTTGGAGAACAAAGGCAGACTTGCTAGTTCAAGGCAGCCTGGCATATATACTGAGAATTTATTTGAGAAAACAAACAAACAAAAAACCATGAACTAAACCAAACTGTAACAAAAAACCCTTTTGCTGCAGTAACAACACAATATGCACCAACAGAAGGGTACTCAGGTGTAAGGATCCCTGCCACTGGTCACTCACCTGGTCAGCCAAGGAGGTAGATAGCATGCCCATGAGTTCCCTCTCTGCTGTCAGCCTCCACATCTGTTCCCATTTCATCTTTCGTAGCTTATCCAGAAGCAGCAGTATGACTCCTGAGCATCAGCATAGGATAAAACAAGAGCAGCAGTGAGATGGAACTACACACACCGACCACTCTGGGACAGCCTATTTACCTGCAAGGATGATCTTTCCCTCCCAAATCCCAGGCAGTGAGCATTCACGTACAGGGTGCATGGTTTGGAGATGAAGAGTCTTGGCCTCAGCACCAGGGTCTGCCAAATACTAATCCAGTGCAAAACTAAATCACATCACTACAACATTTCTACTAAATAAGAAGGAGTATTAAGGTAGGTACCCTTAGTATTTTCAGGAGATATTTGGTGGTGATATTTATACTACTGGGTTAAAATAATAAATTTCTATTATTTATATACTATTTATAAACCATTATCACAGTAATAACAACAAGTGATCCGGCTGTGAACTTGATGTGCAGTATATTTCTCACAAATATTACTTTGTCTTCTGTGGTTTCCCTGGAGATATGACACCCTTAGTATGGCTGATGTTTGACACTTGCAGAATACACACCATTTGCTTTTTTTTTTTTTTAGAAAAAATACAACAACTTTTCTACAACTTTACTCTGATCTTTCAGTTTTAGTTACTTAAAATTTCTTTTTGTTTGAGGGTTTTCCTGCATATGTGTGCAGGGGCATTTGGTAGCCATATAGAAAAGAAAAGGGGACATGATTCCTTGAAATTTGAGTTACAGAAGGTTGTGAGCTTCTGTGTGTATGTGTGTGTGTGTGTGTGTGTGTGTGTGTGTGTGTGTGTGTGTGTGTGTGAGTTGGAAATGGAACTCAAGTCCCCTTTAAGAGCAGGTGCTCTTAACCTTTGAGCTATCATTCCAACCCCTTCTGAGTACATCTTTATCTAGTATTTGACAGTACTGACCAGCCACACAGCCTTGCCTTAGTGTTCCTGACTTGAAAAAAGTCTTCCTTGGCTCAATGATAATCAGCATGTGTGTCAATCAACAGGAAGGCAGTGCTCATGCTGGGTCTTTAACTCAAATGCCCAAGCTTTGTGTTTATAAGAAACTATCAACAAGAGCCTGATGCTTCCTTCTCATCAACTTTTCCTGGTGAGTTTTTATAGGGTTGGACTTGAGCAAATGGGACAGCGTGTAGAGCAGGTTTCTATTGAATATGCTCTTGATTTGGAAAAGCGAGAATCAACTGGATATAGCATTAAGGCCAAAAAACTCAAAAGAAAGTCTAACAAGGAACATGGATTTTGGCTTAGCTGAGGGAATTGTAGGCAGCTATCTACTAACACCTCAGTCCAAGCGGGCAGAAAAAGCCAAATTCATAACAAGAGACCACATGGCCTTGCTGGTAAAGTGAATTTATACACATTTGGGTCCACAGAGCAATCCCATTCATGATGATGAACTTAGCACAAGGGCCACTGTTCAGACAGCAGAAATTATTAGTTCATACCTAAATATATCTCTCTAAGATTCCCAGAAAGAAACTGACTTCCTCCTCATAGTCAGACATACATTTTGATTCTAATACATTTGACTTATCCTAGTAGTACATGTTTGGAGGAAAAGTATATTAACCATTGGCAGAAGGTTTTGGGCATAGAACGCTAGAAATAATGGGAAGAGTAGAGTGATACAGAGATGGGGAGATGTGTAGTTATAAGTCACAAGGTTAACTACACTGGTTGCCTATCTCCTTCATGCATCTCCTTCCCCTGGCTTTTTTGAATGGCATTTTCCCTGATGCTCCAAGATCTTCTCAAATGTCATCCTTATTTTGCTAGAGGGAAACTGAGAGGCTAACTTAGGCACCTGTCTAATTTAGAGTTTTAAAACAGGTAGAGCAGTGTGGGTCTGCCTTGCTCCAAAGCCAATCCTTCTTCACTATTCCACAGAGCCATTTTAAGTCATGGGGTTTCTCCTTTTTCTGATTCAATTCCAACATTAATTTCCTTAATTAAAAATTAGGAAAATATTATTTCTCCCATCAACTCCAGAAAACTGATGTGCTCTATTGTGGTAGCAGATGGCTACCCCAAGAAAAATGGTAGTGCTTGCCAGTTCACATAGTAAACTCTGAGCCTGGGGCCAGTTGAGAAATGTGTATCATTGACGTGGGAAGAAAAGCACATGAACCCCTTTCCACAGCTACCAGAGGATGCAAGCCAGTTCCAATATACCATAGAAATTGTTCCCTAAACAAACATTTTAAGAAAGAGTAAAATTCACACACACACACACACACACACACACACACAAACACACGTAGAATATTTCTATACTCTGTGAAGATAGATATATTTGCTGTGACTGGTATAATAAAGAGCTGAATGGTCAATAGCTAGGCAGGAGGTATAGTCAGGTCTTCTGTGAAGAGACAGAAAGTAGGAGGAGATAATTGAGGTATAGGGGAGACACCAATGAGACATGGAGGGAGTTGGACATACAGAATGAAAGAAAGGTAAAAAGCCGCATGGTAGAACACAGACTAATAGAAATCAGTTAATTTAAGTTGTAAGAGCTAGTTAGGCACAAGCCTAAGCTATAGGCCAAACTTTCGTAATTAATAAGAAGCCTCTGTGTCATTATTAGGGAGCTGTCAGGGCAGAGAAAGACTTTATACAGAATAAGGATAAGTGAAAGCAGAAAAGTTGGAGAGAATGTCTGAAAATGCCATAACAATCACTTACTTTCATGATAAAACTATTTAGTAAAAAAAGTTTTATTTATTTTGGGAAGAGAATAAAGTGATTTTTTTTGTGAGGTACAAAACAGAAATATAACGATATAAGACTGGGGAGATAAAAACAGACCACAGCCTAAAGTGTGTAAGAGATTTCATTGCTGCGTGATCTGCCAATATCCAGATTTGCTGTTGGGGTTCAGGAGTGTGGAGCCTGCCAGGGTCTTCTGTACAGAGGTTTATAACCTTAAATTTCACAGGACCTTCCAGTACAGTTGGCTGGGATGTGTGGAACCAGGTGGGCTGTCATGCTAGGAGCATATGAGACAAACATAAGATAAATAAATGAATAACTAAATTAAAAATCAAAGGTTTCTCCTGTGAACATCGGGTCTAGTCGTAGACTATTTTATCTATGGATTAGAAGGCAAGACTGTTCCCTTCTGTACCAAGTAAATATGTAGTGAAGCTCACATCAGAAAGGACAAGATACTGTCTATGAGAGAAAGAAAAGAACCGTTTAAAACACTGCTTTGGTATGGGTTAAATATTGTTTGTTGCTGCACTATAAAAAGGAGCTGAAGCTGAAGACAGGGATGCCTAGTTAGCATCTACCTGGAAACTGCTGTCCATGAGAGGCTGAATGCTTTACTTAAGTGACTTCTGATTTTGGAACAAAACAATAAGGGAGATGAAATGTTCCCCATTCTAGAGATGAAGATTAGGCTAACATATGGCTACTTAGTTGCAAAAGTAATCACATTGTATGATTAGTGATCTTTCAAACATGGCATGTTGCTCTGTGTGTGTGTGTGTGTGTGTGTGTGTGTGTGTGTGTGTGTGTGTGTGTGTACAAACATGCTCATAAGCAAACAAGGGAGGCCCAGCTCTACCAGTGTTCTCCATCTATTACAAAGTACTTCCTCCTGGAAGAAGAGTACCTCAGTGTTGGAAGAACTGAAGGAAATCACAGACCATCTACAGATGGCCTCTGTACAGGAACCAGGCATGTATAGTCAGAGATGGCAGAACTTACTTAAGACTGTCCTGTGTGGTGTTGATGGCAGACGACCTTGTGTAAGTGATTGTGGTTACTGGCTGGAGACTAGAAAGACTGAAGTCAGAACAGTGTTCGGAGATGACTTGCTGAATGTCAGAGCAACTGTCTTCTTTCTCACGTGAGCACGTCCAACAGATCTCTCAGGAAGTATGGACCTAGCTCTTGCCAGCATGGGAACTACTTAAACATCCTCAGTACAACAGTGATTTCCTTGTTGCTATGATCAACTACATGCTGAAAGCAACTTGAGTATTTCAGCTCACAGTTTAAGTATTTCAGCTCACAGTTTGAGATGGTTTGCTTGGTTCATAATAGTTGGAAAGGTGTGGCCCTTGTGGCTCCACGGCAATGGGGTGTGAGGCTACCTGACCAAGCCTCAGAAGCTCAGGAAGCAGAAAAATGAGAATGCTGGTGTGCAGTTGGCTTTTACCACCCCCTACCTTCTTACCCAGAATGGAATCCCAGCTGATGGAATGCGGCTGCCCACATTCCAGTTTTCTTCTTAGCTAATCTTCCCTGGAAATGCTCTTATAGGCACATCCAAGGGCATGCCAAACTAATGCCTAAGTGATTCTTAATTCAGTCTTAAAACCAGCCATCAAACCAGGTAAATATCTGAGGTTCTCATGGCCAAGACATTTCTTTTTTTTTTTTTTCTTTTTTGGTTTTTCGAGACGGGGTTTCTCTGTGGCTTTGGAGGCTGTCCTGGAACTAGCTCTTGTAGACCAGGCTGGCCTCGAACTCACAGAGATCCGCCTGCCTCTGCCTCCCAAGTGCTGGGATTAAAGGCGTGTGCCACCAACGCCCGGCTTTTTTCTTTCCTTTTTTTTTTTGGACCAAGACATTTCTTAAGAGGAAGCTACCCCATCTCTTCTTCCCTCCATTCTCTTTCCAGTTTTCCCTATGCAATCACGTATGCTTTCGTGATTACACTAAATGAAAGACTCAGCCTAGAACTGGTTAATTCAGAACACAGGCTTCCTTGATTCAAGGGGAGAAACAAGGTCCTAAGTGGCTACATAATTCCAGTAGGTAAGACCAGTTCACAGCAAGCTTTGGATAAAACCTATTCCCTAATTCAGTATGGGATGATAGTGCAGGATACACAGTTAAACAAATTGAGAGGATGGCAGCATAAACTAAGTATCCTACACAACATATGCACAGTGAGTTGCAATGGTGTTTATTGCTTATTCCTCCCTGGCTTCCTTCTGAGCGTCCTCGGCTCCCCCTCACTGTCTGAAGATGACTTGACCCTTAGTCCTCTGGTGGTTCTTGTGGCTTTGCCAGTCAGACC